CCAGGGCAGTAGGAATACTCTGCAGGACAGTATATCAGGCACATTTGCCCAGCCAACAGTGAACAACACCACTGGTGAACCCTAACATAAACTGTGGGTGCTGGGTGATAACGATTGTCATTGTAGGTTCAACATTACTAACAAATGTGCCACGCTGGTGTGGACATTGGTAACGATGGTAGTCGGGGAGGACTATATGTATGAGAGGGTGTGGAACTGGGAGCTCTGTACCTTTCCCTCACTGTTGCTGTGAACCTAAAACTGCTCTAAAAATTATTTTAAAATGTGTATGTGTGCGTGTATGTGTATTATATATATATACATATATATATACATATATATATATATATATATATATATATATATACACATAGAGTATGGTAGCTCAGCCACACATGTAAATTTTAATTAGTTTGAGTTTAAATAATTTGAGTTTAATACCTGGGCTGGGGCTGTAACTCAGTGGTAAAGTGCCTGCCTCGCATGTGTGAGGCACTGGGTTCAACCCTCACACACACACACACACACACACACACACACACACACACACACAGATACATATCCCATGTCATGTAACTAGTGGCTACCACAGGTATAAAGCATGTCTATCATTGCAGAAGGTTCTGCTGGACAGTTTGTTCTACAGATTACCTTTCACATCTCCCTAGTATTTTGAAATATCTTATATATCTAAGGAGATATCTGTAACAGGATGACAATGACTCTATCAATCACCTTTCTTTCAGTGCCCACTTTATGCCACGTGTGGTTTGAGAGTACCTTCTGTGAGTACATATTATCTTATTTAATCCTCACAGGATTAAACCATGATTCAGCTCAAGGAGGCCATCCTACAATATCGTTGTAATAAATGATTAACTCAAGTTTGATTAACTCCGGTTTCCACACTCAACTCCTTAATCAACAGGAAAAATGTAAATTGGCCCCAAATCCTATCAGACCGTACAAAGACCTCGGATGCAAATCAAAGGCAATTCTTGCCAGTGTGGCATTGGTGCCCACCATGAAGATATGGTTTGTCCTCCAAGAGCTCATGTGGGGGAAGCTTGGTTCCTAGCGTAGCAACGTGGAGATCTGGTGGGACATGTAAGAGGTGGGGCCTTGTGGGCCATCCTGGGTAGCTTACACAAACCCTGTCTTAAAAACTACAAAAAGGGGCTGGGGCTGGAGCTCGGTGGTAGAGTACCCCTGGGTTCAATCTCAGTACTGGGGGTGGGTAGAGGTGGGCCTGGTGGGAGTTGGCTAGTCCATCGAGGGCATAGCCAAGAAGGAAGTGGTGCAGTTAGTTCTTGCGAGAGGTTGTTATAAAAGAGCCAGCCTCATCCCTCCCTTTGCTCTTGTCACTGTCTGGATCTCTGGTTGCCTTCCTGCCATTGTGATGCTGTCTGCCATGAAGCCTTCACCCTGCCCTTGAACCCCCAGAACTGTGAGCTGAATAAGCCTCTTTCCTTTATAAAGTTACTCTGCTTCAATTATTTAATTGTAATAATCGAAAATTGACGAATGCAATGTTTTTTTCAGGAATCTGGAACACTTGTAAATTCAAGTACCACAGGATACCAATCCTGAGGCCTAAGACAGCCAGAGGACATTCAAATCTGGAGTCAACAAAGCCTGGCCCTGGTGTTCTTTACTGAGGAAGACCAGTTTGTCCTCTATCAACTAAATTATAAAAGCTTAATATGTTCACTATTAAATAGTGCATTTCAGAAAATTATGCATACACACCCATATAGGTTAGCACACAGTGACAAGAACAAGATGGGAGATGTTTTGCAGACATGTAAAGCAGAAAAAAGAAAAAGATCTTTAAAATATATTTTGAATTGGGCTTAATAAATATGTCCAGGGCTGGGACTATAGCTCAGTGGTAGAGCGCTTGTTTAGCATGTGTGAGGCACTGGGTTCTATCCTCAGCACTGCATTAAAAAATAATAATAATAAAAATAAAAATAAAATAAAGGTATTGTGTCCATCTATAACTAACTAACTAAATGTAAATAAATAAATCCATATAAGTTAACTTAATCCTTGGCATGATGGAGACTGACAGTTTTAAATGATGGGAAAAACCATAAAGTGAAAGACAATTCAAAAAAAGTTTTTGCAAGAAAATTTTAAACATTCATCTAAATATCCAGCCACTTGGAACTGATGCCAGAGGATCATGAGTTCAAGGTCAACAAGAACTTGTCTTTTATAAAAATAAATAAATAAAGGCATCAAATTAATGCCTGTGGTGCCCTGATGTCCTGACTTGGCCTTAGACTTAATTATGTTTTCTGCCATTTCACAGAGGAGAAAAACTGAGGCTCAAAGAAGTCAAGTTCTGCATTTCCTGGGTAATAAGTGGTAGAACCAAAATTGAAACCTAGGTCTAATCAACTCAAGAATTCCATTCTGACTCCCTATCAGGCAGAACTGATTTTGACTCAACTTTCTTTTTTCTTTCTTTCTTTCTTTCTGGTTGAAATTCTCATTGAGACCAGAATATTAGAATATCAATTTTAAAACATGAAATAGTGCTTGAAAGAAGCAGCCAGGACATTTTTGATGTGAGATTTTAACTTTTGATTCAGAATATTCTTTTGTCATACCAAATTTACTTTAATGACTATGCCTGATAGTCTTTAAATATAATAGTCTATGGGAAATAATCTGAAATTGTTTTCATTTATTTAAACACTTACATATATTTCAATTTCATATAGTTAAGAACGTTCTTCCATCCATTAAACAACCTAAAGGAGGATTCAGTGCACTTTTTCTGTGAAGGGCCGGTTAGTTCATTTTTAAGACACCAAGGGCCACATGCTCTTTGTCATGATACTCAATGCTACCATTGTGCTAAGAAAGCAGCTATGGAAAACAAATAAGTGAGCCTGGCTATGTTCCAATAAAACCTTATTTATGGATTCTAATATTTGAATTTTGTATAACCTTTTATGCCCATGAAATATTATTCTGCTTTTTGACTTTTTTCCACTATTATAAATATAAAAACTATCCTTAACACATGGGCCAGATAAAAATAGGTGGTAAGGTAGAATTGAGTTTCAGTTGTTAGTATGCAACCCCAATCCTAAAGGATGAAAGCAAGACCTAGAAGAATGAAGATACTTCCTTAAAGAATATGGAAAAATCAAGCTGTGCATGGTGGCATTGACCTTTGTCCCAGCTACTATTTGAGGCTGAGGCAGGAGGATCAAAAGTTTGAGGCCAGATTGGGCAACTTAGTGAGACTTTGTCTCAAAATAAAAAATAAAAAGGACTGGAATGAAGCTCAGTGGTAGAGCTGCTTGCTTAGCAGGCACAAGGCCCTGGGTTCAAATCTTAGTAGTGCAAAAAAAAAATGAGTTTTGTCCAATTTGAAAGAAATGAAAATAATGAAAGCCACAAGAAGATAATTTAATAATCTGTGGGGAAGGGGCATTTAAGATCATGAGCAGGGGCTGCTTTACCATCCACAGATAGTACTTTAAATCATCTTTTAAATTACTTGTAATGCTTAATAGAAGACAAATTCTATGTAAATAGTTGTTATGCTGTTTATTCAGGGAAGAATGATAAGGGGCACAAAAATCTGTGCATGTTTAGTACAGATCACCACTCCAGAGGCCTTCGCTCTGACACCATGGCAAAGTACAATACTCTCCTCTTTCTATTAGTTATGTTTCCTCTCCTCTGCCACATCACTTTATGCCATTAATAATGTAAATTCTGCAAATATTAAACTAAAGGGAAAGAGGAGAAGAGAACAGTAGCTTACATTTTATAATAATTACCGTATTTGTTGTCTCAATCTGGAATTAAAGGACTTAAAACAAAGATTTGCTTTAATCTTCTCCACAAATGGACAATTTGTGTACAATATTACATAATTAATACACCATTACTTTGAAGATTTACTAATTGGGCTTTTCTCTTATATAATTCAATGTTTATTTAGGGTTTTCCATGTGCCAGATATTATTCTAGCTTTCGGATATATTGAAGTAAACAGATTCTCTTACACAGTTGTCCTTCAGTATCTATGCGGAATTTGTACCAAAATCCAACAACGCTTAAGCCTCTTATATAAAATGGCAATAACTTAGGTGCACCCATCCACAGACGGTACTTTAAATCACCTTTTGATTACTTATAATGCTTAATAGAAGACAAATTCTATGTAAATAGTTGTTATGCTGTTTATTTAGGGAAGAATGATAAGGGGCAAAAAAGTCTGTACATGTTTAGTACCGATGCAATTTTTTTCAAAATATTTTCAATTCACTGTTGGTTAAATCTAGGGATGTGAAACTCACAGATGTGGAGGGACAACTATATTCCCCTTCAGAGGAATGCACAGTCTAATGGTCTCTTCATTGGCAACAGCCTACTACGATCTCTTTATATGACAATCTACCAAAGAACATTTAAAAAATTAATTAATAGCAGTTAATTAGTTAGTTAATACTTTCTTATAAAATGCTTTCAACGTAAGCAGCAATACTGCTAAGCAAATGCAAATCAATAAATATTCACTTACTATTTGCAAGGCAAACTATTAGTAGTATAAATTAAATTTATTTATTTATTTATTAATTAAAGGACAGTCAGGCTTTTTATTTATTTATTTTTATGTGGTGCTGAGGATCAAACTCAGGGCCTCGCACATGCTAGGTGAGCACTCTACCACTGAGACACAACCCTAGCCCCTAAAACATATATTTTTGCAATAATACGTCAATGGAACTTTCCAGTAAACTGAAATAACTTCACACTTTTATTTTCTATCACCCACCTCTTTTCATTTCTTCCCACAATATCTGTCAAATAGGTTGAAGAAATCAGAGCACAGTGAGAGACAGACCATAATTGGTTTAAGCCAGGGAAATATTAGGGCTGGAACCCAGTGCTCCTCTTTTGAAAATCCTCCTTTACCTATTATCTCCTGGGTAAAAATTCAGATAAATCATTAATCAGAAAGGCAGTTCCTGCTTGTAAGCAAACTCTTTGTCACACACAGCATTTCTGTTTAAAGTGAGCAAAAACAAGGAAACCTTTTTTCCTTTTCAACTTTTGTTCTACAAACATAAAAAACTAGAAATACCAGATGGACCTGGCAGTAATTAATGCACAGCAAGTTGAACCTTTTACCTGCCAGATCACTTTGTGTGCCATAGACAACTATAATTGAAATGTGATTTAGCTGAACGCTGGGTTCCACGGTTGACTTTTCCTTGAGTAAGTGATCAGTTTTGTCTTTCCATTGCTTTGGTCTAACACAGAAATGAAGTTGCCTGTAAAAAAAACTCTTGCCTTCAGCATCAGTTTATTTTTTACACTTCTGACTTATATTTTGAAGTGGCCACTATTTTTATAATTTTTCCCAGAGCACTTAGGGGCAAATTAAGGAATACAGGTAGTAACAGTGGTAGAGGGCAGCTGGGGAGGCATTCAGCATGTTCTGGAGCTAGTCCCACAGCCGGTGTCTGGATTGAAGATGGAAAATCTGACTTCCAAATGAACCAGGCTGGCAAAGGGCCACCCTTTTAGTTCTAACCTAGTTTGGGCAGATTCTGAGAAGCTGCATTTTCTTTAAAGCCTTCAAGCTAGTTACAGGTTGGCAGGAGGAATTCACCTGTCAAGATCAGCTTCTGGACCGGAGCTAACCAGGATCTGCCACCCTGTGGATACTGAAAGTGGCACAGTCCCCTTCAAGTACAGGAAGTAAAGGGAACAGGGCACTGTGACCTCAACTAGGAGATCCCTGTCCAAAACGTTTCAAATTCTAGTCCTCCTAAGCCTATAGTTGCCTGGATTTTCATCATTTTTTTGCACCATAGATCTCATTATTTATTCTAAGAATAATATTTTTATGTTTTAATTTTTAGGTTTCTCTGATGCTGGGGGATGGAACCGAGGTCCTAAAGCATGTGAAGTATGGGCTCTACCAGTAAGCTTAATATTTTTTGCTTATTTTTGTTTTGTCAATAGTGGCGATTGAACTCAGGGCTTCGCACATGCTAGGCAAGTGTTCTACCACTGAGCTACATCCCCAGCCCCCAGGAGTAATATTTTAAGTGAATAAAATAAGCATCTATATGTACATATATAATTTATATATAATATGTATATAATGTTATATATAATAAATATATAATAATTTTTTATATATAGTAATATATGTACTTCCTTGTTAACATATTAAATGATATGATCTGGGTCCTAATGACTACCATATATTTAAAATTGCTTAAGTGATATTTCTAAGATATCTGCAAAAGCAGTAATGGGATATGAAAAGACCTATTTTTTTTTTTAAATGAAAACCTGCAGGTACATCTAATACTACTCTGGTTCCTTGCCTACATTCATTATTGAAGGAAATGCTAAATTTTATTTAGAGGTGGGTGAAAATTAAAATTTACTGTTTTCATCTAAGATCGCCTTAGATTCTACCCGTGGACCAAGGCTAACAAACAATACCTGAGAAATTTGAAAACAAACAAAAACCCAACTAATAAGCAGAGTTCAAGAACCAAGTGCTACCTGAATGAAAAACAACTTCTAGGCTGGGGAGGCTCCTTCTTTTCCTACCATTTTGTTTGCAAATCTCAGTCCTAGTTACCTAGTGGAGGATGCCGTCTGCCCTTCATCTCCTGTTCCCTGCTGGTGTGGGTTTGCACCGAGTAGTGCTGTTTCCGAACACCAGCACTACCTCAGAGAAATAATCTCTTTTTCTCAAAGAGATATATCATGGGCGTGGTGATACATGCATGTAATCCAGGAACTCCAGAGGCTGAGGCAGGAGGATTCCAAGTACAAGGCAATTTAGTGAGACACTGTCTCAAAATAAAAACTAAAAAAGGGCTGGGATGTAGCTCAGTGGCAGAGCACCCCTGGGTCCAATCACTAGAACTGCCAAAAAAAAAAGAGGGGGGTGGGGAGGGAGAGAAAAGGAGGGGGAGGAGGAGAAGAAGAAGAAAAGGAGGAGGAAGAAGGAGGGGGGAAGGGAAGGGGCAGGCAGCCACTGAAGGACAATTATTCAGATACTCTACTGCCAAATCTCCCAGAAAATTGAGAAAAAATAGGATCCTTTTCTTAATGATTTATCCCCATCAATGATTTTGTGAAGACTGCCTCAGTTAAAAGCCCATTGTCCCCCAGCCAAATATTCTTCTATGAACCTGTAATTAGAGGTCAACAGATGATGTTCTAGAATATGATCTTCTAGCCTAATGTTGGTGTTTCAGATTGGACCAAACTCAGACTTCCAAGAATTACAACCTTGGAGTCATCTTCAATATTGGTTTTTAAAAAACTATCCTATTAGCAGAAATGAAACAGAGTGGCAAAGACAACTGTTGCTGTCCACAAAACTAAAAGGCACATTAACCACAAACCTAATATCAATCAAGTCACCATCCTCACACAATGAAAATATTACCACAAAGCTTAGCAAGAGAGACTTTGAAGCCTAAACCCTAGGCAGTGATTCTTCTGTCAAAAAAAGTTTAAAAATCTCAATTAATGGATGGGGGAAATACATTCATTCATATTTTTATTGAGAGACATAATATACTAGCCAAAAGAAACGAGAGTTTCCTGTGTAAAATGTGTATCCACTTTAATAAAGGATCAGTGGAGTTAATGCTGCTAGCTGAGTGACCTTCACACATGAGGGTGTGTGTATAATGCTGCAAAGAATGTGTAAGTGATTTTAATAGTTTTCAAGGACACAAGTGCTTAGGTGGACAAAGTGTGTTCTGTGTTTTATTTTAAAGCAATGTGCTAATTCAGAAGGGTAGTGCCTATTAAAAAAATGCTTTCTTGATAATTACCGCCCATGTAAAAAAAAAGATACTGATTTCAACTGGGGCCTTGTTCTTTGAAAATAATATCTTGCTAAATTTGAAAAGCTGAAGAAATTCTAAGAAGTTGTGGTTGATATAAACCTTGATATTTGCACGAGGGCAAACTGAATTCTGAATTACAGATCCGGGATCAACTTCACTTGGTCATGAGAAATGCAAATCAAAACGGTGAGATAGGGGCTGGAGTTGTGGTTCAGTGGTAAAACACTTAACCTCGTATGTGTGAGGCACTGGGTTCAATTCTCATCATATTCAATTCTCATCATATAAAAAATAAATAAATGAAATAAAGTTAAAAAAAGAGAAAAAAGTGAGATACTACTCTACACCCACCACAGTGGATAGACTAAAAATAAATAAGAAAAATAGCAACTGTTTATAAGATGTAGAAACAAAAATTAACCCACATACACCGTTAGTGGGAATGTAATATGGTCAGCTACTGTGGGAAACAACTGGAAGTTCCTAAAAGAGTTGAACATACAAGTTATCATTTGATCCAGCTATTGCTTCATTTTTTTTGTACACATCCCAGAGAAATGAAAACATGTCCACAAAAGACCTGGTGCATGAATGTTCATAGCAGCATTATTCATAATAGCAAAAAAGTAGAGGAAATCCATGTGTCCATCATCTGAGGAATGGATAACAAACTGGAATCTTAATACAATGCAATGTTAACTGACCAGGAAAAGCAATATAGTACTGAGATTTACTATGATAGAGATGAATGTTAAAATATTTTGCTATGTCAAAGAAGACAGAAAAGATGGCATGTTGTATGATTCCATATATGAAATGGACAGAGTGGGCAAATTGATCGAGACAGAAAATAGATCAGTGATCGCTTAGGTCTTAGGGAGATTGTGAGGGTGAAAGCTAAAAATTACAGGAGATTTTGAGGGTCAATGATTAAAATATGGTAAAGTGAATGTTGCACAACTCTGTGCATGAATTGTACACTTCAAATAAGTACAATCTGGATCGTATAGTAGGTAAATTGTACCTCAATAAAATTGTTACATAAAAATAAAACATGATTCAAATGACTTCTTACCTTGAAATCAGACAGACAAATATGTTCCTATGAAAAGAATCCAAAACACATTCATTCATTCATTCATTCGTGAATAGGTATAGGATAAGAAATAGGAAAAGAAGTAGGTGTGTGGGGAAAATCAGTTTGAAACTTTGTTCTACTTATTTATTTATTTGTACCTGGGACTGAACTTAGGGGCACTAGACCACTGAGCCACATCCCCAGCCCTATTTTGTATTTTACTTAGAGTCAGGGTTCACTGAGTTGCTTAGCACCTCACTTTTTGCTGAGGCTGGCTTTGAACTCACAATCCTCCTGCTTTAGCCTCCTGAGTCACTGGGATTACACACACGTGTCATTGCGCCTGGCTGTTCTTTTTATTTTGTAATTAAAATGTACATTTTGTAATTAAAAGTTATTTACATAACTTTATATCCTTGCAGAATGTTCTTTATCTAGTTGGGTGCTTTCAGTCTTCATTTCTTCAGTCTGGTGTCTCTAGTACCAGCCCTGCTTTCCTTTTCTTTGCATGGATTTTCTCTGATACTTGAAACACGTCAGTTACCATACAGTTGGATTCACACTATGAATCTTACTTTTAAACCAAATCTGGTCATTTTTATTTTTTAATGGGTGCATTCAGCTCTTCACATCTAGTGTTCTTAGAAGACTAGATTTTGGCTCCCTCTTTTCCTTCCTACATTCGCTCATTTCAAAAAGTTCATATACTTTTCACTTCGGGTTTTCTTTTCTTTCTTTTTGTGTGCTGGGGACTGAACCCAGGGCTTTGTGCATGTGAGGCAAACACTCTACCAACTGAGCTATATCCCCAGCCCTCCCTTTTGGTTTTCTTGGTTTGTATTATCTCCTGTGTTTTTAAATAGTTTACTTGTTCTTAGCGTATTTTCTGGGGGGGGGATACTGGGGATTGAACCCAGGGGCACTTAACCACTGAGCTACAGGCCAGCCTTCTTCATATTTTAGAGATAGGGTCTCTCTCAGTTGCTCAGGGCCTCACTAAGTTGCTGAGGCTGGTTTTAAACTCATGATCTTCCTGCCTCAGACTCCGAGGCGCTGGAATCAGAGGTGGGAGCCACCAGGCCTGGCCCTTCTTGGCATTCCTTATTGGAATGTATATCTTTGGTATTTCCTATAAATGTCACCCCTGAGATGCAGTGTTTTCCCAACCTTGTGTTCTAGTCCAGCTCTGCTGTCCCCCAATACTCTTCCACCTCACAGCACAGACCCTTAGGGCATTTCTACTCACTCTCCTTTCTCACTATTCTCACGAACATCTGGGACTCTTCTTCTACCATCCTCCACAGACTTTAATTGTCTCCCAGCATCATTTAAAAAATCTCCTACAGAAAGGCCAACTGTGCCAATGAGATGGCTGGAAGCTAAACCAAGAACACCTGTGTGAACCGTGGAATCTCAACGTCAGAGAGGACCTACAAGGATCTCAGGGGACAGTTACTAAGGTATGGTGACAGTCTATTTGATTCTGTGCCACTAACAAAAGGATTTCAGCTGTGTGATTAGGCACAAAATCGCCACTGCTTGAGCTTGGTTTCTCTCAGCTAGAGTGATTTATTCAAGGTTAAATGCAAGGGCTGGGGATGTGGCTCAGTGGTAGAGCACCTGCCTGGCATGGGCGAAGCCCTGGGTTTGATCCTCAGTTAAAAAAAAAAATTAAAGGTAAATGCATTTATAGTAGATGGTTCCTAAGCCTTCGGAATCTATCAACATCTTGAAACTAAGCATCCTGCTGAAGAGGAAAGTTTTTTTTTTTTTTTTTTTTTTTTTTTTAAAGACAGAGTGGGAGAGAGAGAGAGAGAATTTTTTAATATTTATTTTTTAGTTCTCGGCAGACACAACATCTTTGTATGTGGTGCTGAGGATCGAACCCGGGCCGCACGCATGCCAGGTGAGCACGCTACCGCTTGAGCCACATCCCCAGCCCAAGAAGAAAGTTCTGGGAAGGGAAAGTTTTAGATGGGACAGTACTTGGGAATATCTCCAAGAAAGGTGTCTGAATGAACACTTCCAGCAGGGAGACTGCAAGAGCAGGTGGTTCCTAAAAAGAGATGGTCAGAGAAGAACTGCAGATTTGGGCTTTTTCATGGATGTGGCCTCTGGCCTAGGTGGTTGAGAAGTTTGGAAGCACTCCAGGACAAAGATACTTCACCAGTGCTGACTGGTAGCAATGCAATGGGAGCCACATGTAAAATATCAAAATTTCTAGTAGCCCATGTAAAAAGAAAGTGAAAAGAAATATGTAATTAACATTAACAATATGTATAACTGAATAAGCATATAAAATATAAATGTATATATATATATATATATATATATATATATATATATCTTATCCATTCAGTTAGTCTACCCTTCCCTTTTTTGTAGATGAGAACACAGTAAAATTCAACAATTAAAAGAGTTATTTAAGATCATACAACTAGTAAGTACCAGAGCCCGAAATAAAATACTGAACAAGTATATATCGAGTGCCCTTTATGTATATTCATTATATTATTCCAATTTTATTTTTTTAAACTGTCATCAATATAAAAATTATTACAGAGATAATTTACAGTCTTGTTTTCTTCCTAAGTCTCGAAATCTGGCAAGCACATCTCAATTTAGACTAGCCGCAGTTCAAGTGTTCAATAGCCACTGTGGCTACTGGTTGTCTGAGGGATAGCACTGCTCTATAGTGAGGATAGTAAATATACTACAGTGCCAAGCTCTCCCATTTCTCATCTCTGGTGGAAATTACCAGGTAGCCACAGCATCTTTCCTTTCTTTATTTCTTTTTTCTTTCTTCTTTCTTTCTTTCTCCTCTTCTTTTTCCCTCTTCTTTTCTGTTGTTGTGATGGTGGTGGTGCTAGTAGGGACTGAACCCAGGGCCTCATACATGCTGGGCAATGCTCTACCATTGAACCATGTCCCTAATCCCACCCCTTTTCGATTTTATTTTGAGACTGGGAAACCCTAAGATGCCCAGGCTGATCTCAAACTTGAAATCGTCCTGTCTCCTGAGTGGCTGGGATCACAGGTGTACTCTACCACTACCAACTCGTAGCATCCTTTCTTCATTAGTCCTGGTGTGTTCTCACAATAGAGAACAGACTCTCAAACAGAGAGTTCACACCTGGGGAGAAAGTACCCCCCCACACACAAGATCAGGAGAGCAGAGGTTTGGTCTGCTGAAGTCTGGATCCCGAATGTCCTCTGAAGGCCCGTGTGTCAACAAAGGCTCAGTTCGGAGCTTAGCACTATTGGGATGTGGTGAGAACTTAGAGGTGGGGCCTAGCGGGAGGTCTAATGGTGTTCCATTGAAGAGAACAGAGGGACTCTCTCCTTTCCTCTTTTCTCTCTTTCTTGTGGCAGCCATGAGGTGAATGGTTTTGCCATATATGGCTGCCACCATGTGCTGTCTCACCACAGGCCCAAAGACAATGGGGCCAACCAATCACAAACTGAAAGCTCTAAAACTGTGTGTCAAAAGAAAACTTTCCTCTCTTTGAGTTTATCTTGGGTATTTTGTTTAGGTAACAGAAAGCAGACTAATACACGGGTCTGCTTCATTCACTCCTACATCCCAGCACCCACAACAAGGCCTGGGTTGTAATGGGCACGCAACCCTATATCTATTCAGTGATTTTTAAAATCTGTTTGTATCCTAGTTGAAGAGCTAGTGAACACAACTCATTTCTAATCATTTGTATTGCCTAAGAATAATTTGTGAATTTAAAGAAAATTCTAAATAAGTTTTAAATTGAAAAGAACCAACCCTAAATCTTTATGGATTTTAACCTTTAAAGATTTCAGCAGCTCAGGAGCCCTCTGAGGCTGGAGGATCACCCCTGGGTTCAATTCCTGGTACAAAAAAAAAAAAAAAAAACCCACCAGATTTCCTAGTAGATGTTACACCATGAATAAACAAAGGAAATTAGTCCATGTCTGTGTTTATTAAATGCCTATAATCACATTGTTTGCTGAATATGATACTAAAATCTAAACACTTTGCAAAATTCTCTGTAATTTCAGTCTATTTCTTAACAAATTTCCTTAAGAAGTGGAATCAAAAGAGTAGGCTTATTCATAGTAATTGATCTCAACACTTCAGCTTTAAGTCTTTGGATTTTAGAGTTTTTTTAAAAAAGGTTCCCAAGACCTTTAATAATTATGATCATTATCATGTATCGCATGAAACTATCAATTGTTGATTGCTTCTTTTGTTCTAAATATTATGCTAAATGTTTCACATACTTTATCACATTTAAACAATACCAATTGTCAATTGCTTAAAGCCATCCAACTATACAAGAAATAACCAGCATTAAAACCCTGGTTTGTTTGACTCTCAAGTCTGGAATCTTGTCCATTCAGTTAGTCTACCCTCCCCATTTCTGTAGACAATAACACAGAAAAACTAAAAAAATTAGATGAGCTATTTAGATCATTCAACTAGTAAGTAACAGAGCCAGAAATATAATCAACACTTCCAGATTCTCTCCTCCACAGCATGCAAAGGCAAAGCACAGGACACATCGTTGATTAAAGATATTTTTTTAATCTATTGATTGATTTTTGTGTGTGTAGTGCTGGGAGTCAAACAAGGACCCCACACGGAGCTACATCTCCAGCCCAAGATATTTTTTAAAATATTGAAATTAAAATTCGACTCCCACAGAGAGAAAACAGGTGGTTACTGATTCATGTTCAGTAGTCAGGATGGGGATTGTGAGAACAGGATTAAGGCATTAAACAGGGGACATAATCATTGATCCTGGTCCCAAACTAAGCAAACGAAGTGAACCATTATCTGTGAAGGTGGTTAGTGATTAACTGTTACTGTGGCACAGCCACAGCAGAGCACAGAAAGACCTGGTTGGAGCTGAGAGGCATGAAGGGTGATTTAAAGAGGAGAGGGCTGTCCTGGGTTGCTCACTGGGTGGAAGGTCTCCTCAGATCCCTCCAAAGGGCTCTCCCCACAACTTCTCTCTAAACCTTTGAATCTCCAGCATCTGAATGGCTGGGAGCCAGAGGCTCAGGAGTGTCCCAGCCCTGGATGTTTTCCGGGCTAACCTGACCCTTCAGCTCTGGAAAGCGGCAGGTGCCTTGTCAATCTCCCTAAGCTGAGACAGAACTAAGAACAATGGCCTCTTCAGTCCTGGCTCTCCTGGCCAGCTCTCCTCAAGGCCACCTCCCTTCCATCTAAATCCCTTTTTATTGAAGTCAGTTGAATGCTGTCTTATCTGCATTAAGGGGGTTGGGGCTACTTGTGGCCACAATTAGGTCTTCAAGCCATCTGGGCATAGAAATCTCACTTCATTCCCATGTCTCACCATTCCAACTGGCATTTTACTTTGAAGTTCACAACTAATATTTGGTCAGCAAAGTATTAAAGGAAAAGAAAGCTAGAATGGTGCACAACAGTTAAATACAAGCCGTGTTACACAGGAAGTTCAGCGCAGTACACATCATGATTAATCATCAATCACAAGAGGTGCACTCAAGAGTCTCAGTGCCAAGAGCTGTACTTGTTCCTCTGACTCCCCTTGCTGGTCAATGTGAAAAGTGACACAGAGAAAAAATTATCTGCACACTTCCTATTCTCTCTTTCCTCATGTCCAAATACTTCAAGGTTAACAACAACAATAGAGAGTGGGGTAGGTGATGTAGCCAGCATGCTTGTGGCCCAGCCCTGAAAAAATTAAAACTAAAGAAATAGCTTTGTTTTCTATTTTGGGGGAAGGGTCAGCTCTTCGAGTGGGAAATGCAATGAGATCACTATTAGGATGAGGAAACACACCCTCCCTGGTGTGCAAATTGCACATCATTTACTTTCAAGTGCGTCATAAGAGGGCAAGATTTAAATCCACAGTATCACGGAGTCTAGACAGTCAATCTCACAACATTAGCTAGTCATAGGGCAGTAGGTAAATGTGACTCATATTTGTTGGACAATCAGATGAACTGCAAGTGCAAGAGTGCCATTAATCCGGTTATCTCGGTGGAATGACTTTTTCCATTTAGAAAGTAAACTCCTGTTATGATTATGTATTAAGAAATTTAAAAACTGGCCTTGTACTCAATTCACACAATCTGATGGGAGAGTGACATGGGGAATGTGGAACAGCACCTACACAAACTTCTGACAGGTATACTCACTAGGATGTTTGGGAAATACAAATAAGTACCAGCTGCAACAGCTCATTGTCATTTGAAATTAAAGTAATCGTTCCTATGCCCCGGAGCCCCATCTTTTAATAGCAGAGATATTAGTCTTCGTAAGTCTGCCTGCATGGACCGTCCCAACACTAGGTCAGCTTCTCATCGAACCCGAACCTCATACATGAATTCTGTATAATCTCAGAATGATTTCCTCTCAGTGGTTTAACTTATCTGAGAAAATGAACTCATTTGAGGGTCATTTTGAGTCTCTACATCAGCTCTCTGAAGTTCCCCCTTGTCAGTTTTTACATATTTCTAATAATTTGCAAAATCATATTCTTGTGGCAATTATATTTGCTATTGATGATGGAGAGTGATGTGTATATTCCAGGACACCCATGATTATTCCCTGGTGACATGGATCAGTTAGCTAGCACAGAACTGATTTTCAAATTTCAGATCGATTCTACTAATTTAAAAATCTGCCAGTCTTTGCCACAGCTCACTTATCCTGTGTGGTTAGTAATGATTGTAAGTTCTTCTGACAACATTGGCCATTCCAATCTTTAAAGCCTGACTTTTAAAATAAGCAAGGACAAGGCTAAGGCCTTTGATGGTGAGATCAAGCTGGAACATTGTGTGAGACAGAGGCTTGGATCTGGATGCCACATTCTAAAAGGATTGTTGCTGAATAGGAAGATGAAAATGCAAAAACAAAACCTGGACAGCAAGGAGACTCCCAGCACTTGATGCCAAGAAACAGTGAGCCCTCCACCTTCCCCTGTCTTATCTCTCTTCATCTGCGGTTTAGTTCTGTGGCCCATTGCTGCAGCTAACCCTTGCCAATAGCCTCATTGCCCTTGCTTCATTCCATTCTTCTGTCATGACTGCCAGGCAAAAGACTGGCGCTGGCTCCTCTCTGCTGAGATCCCCAGGCTGCTGAGCTTGCAGGAGAAATTCTACAGCTGAATTCAC